GTGGACTAAATGTTAACCACATTTCTTCTTTTCTTCTTCTTTACCCTTTAGGCGACCATTTTATTTCAAAGATTTACTGCGAATTAAAAAAAGAAAAAAAGTCCAGGTCCTTCGCTGTGTCTGTAAATGGAATATGACGACAGCAGAGGCGCTGCACGCGGACTACGTTTGTGCATCTCCCGCTAAGTTTAGCGGAGCACCAGAACTCCACGCGAGTTGCAGTGGATTTCCGGATCCACTGCAACTCGGGAATCGACAAAAAAAATATGAAGGCGAAAGCCTTATATGTCTCATCGTTCAGTCAACCTTCAAAGTCCTTGAGCGAAAACATGTCGGCGAGACGAAAGGTACCAAAACGCTTACGTGACATCTGCGAATTTTAATATTCCCCCGAAAAACCTTTTTCGCTCTTGTCCCTCGGCTTGCGTCGAACCAGCGACCTTTCGCCTACATTCATAAATCATGTGTCTGTCCTTAATGCTTCGTTGCTTGGGCTTTCGCCTTCAAGCCGTGTTAGGGATAAGACAAGAGACCCTATGGATTTTTATACTCAATGATCATCACGTCCTTTGGAACAACTTATAGACGACACCGGAACTGCGCTGTGAAGTATACAGGATAATATGGCGCTCTCACGCAATCAACCAGAGCTAAATTAATGAGCTGAGTTGCTGTGCACCCCCTTTTATCGAAGCGCGAGGTACAGTTTAGCTGGAATGCCAGCGGGCGTGTAATCGCTCGAGGTTATCCTCCGCATAATTATTTGATAAAAAGGCGTCGAAATGAACCGAACGCCAGTGAATACGCGTTACGCCGTCCCGAAATCTGAACCGACCGAAGGTTTTCCACCGTGTACAACCTTCATTATGTTATCGAGGAGAGATGCTTCGAGTGTGTCTCGATGCATGGGCTCCGTAATCTTTTCCTGTTTGCCTGTTTGGGAGTAATCTTCGAGCGCTCGGCATGCGGCGATGAATATTCCCGACACCATCGGGCTAATTATATACGTTGTCGAGCCGCTTCACTGGCGACGAAACTATTGCATTTAGCAGTGATCATCAGTCAAGCGACGACAAAGTCGTTTGGCAGCATCGGGAAGCCGAGCGCCTCCTCACGACGCCATGATAGCGGGTCCGCATCACTCCGGGCCACCGTAATTTCTGACGCATTTTTACAGTTCTTCACCATCAGTCCAAGCACGAGCTAAATAGTTCGGCTGGAAGAAAAAGTAAAGAGCTTAATCTTAAGTGCACTCGAAGCAATGTGTTTCTAAAATTTGTTCCCGATTCCGAGAACCAAGAAGCAGGACGCCGAGGCAGTGCCCTTGGCGACACGCAAAGTGAGCGCCGGGCAACACTCCCTATAGAAGGCAAGGCCGAAACGCTGGAGTACGTGATCTACAAGAAGGAGTCAACTCGATGCACTGATTGGACGCGAGAGCATCTTCAGCGTTCGGTATGCACTCGTGTTCGATGAGAGAAAACCCGAATCCCAGCCGAACTTTGACGCAGCGCCCTCGATTCCGATCTGTACGCCGCGCTGGCCCAATTTCTTTAGCCCCAGGGTAGTAAACAAGAAGCGTCTCGATTGGCTACTACTGAGCACCTCTGGTGGCCAAACTGGGCAACTTTGGGAAGGCCAAAGCACCGAATGATTGGGCACAAGCACTGCGTGAGGGTTCGGCAGTGCACTCAAAGAGTCGAGATCGAGAACGTGTTCAACGATTGCGGTCGCAAGCCGTCTCAGAGTTGCGAAAATTTTTCAAAATACTGCGCGACCTGTCAAACCAAATTGTATGGCCCGGTGGGTATAGGTGACGCAGAAAATACAGTGCTACTGCAATGTCTAAAAGGCGCTGGCACGGAGTGCGTCTTAGATTGGGGGAAAAAAGCCCAAGCAATTCATTATGTGGTGTGACTGGTTAGAAGATAGAAGCTGAGGCATGCAGGCGTGCGAATATCCATGCGCCAAACGCTCCTGCATATAAAATGTGGTAGCCGCCAGAGGTCCATCGTGAAAAGCTCTAAAGACATTGTGACAGCCGTCCTGGAATGAAACCAAGTTGCCAATGAAAGGGTGGAGAGGGTCCATGTCTTTTTGTGGCTTTATTCGGGAAAAAAGAATATAAAACTCTAAAAAAGGAAATGGAGCTTGAAAAGTAAAGACTGTTTGGCCTGATTCTCTGTTTTGAGTGTGTCTTCGTATGCAACAAAGTGAATCCTTGCTCTCTTGCTCGCTAGCAAACTTTGTTCAAGTTAACGTCCCCGGCTTTCATCGCTTAAATCTAGCTCTCTCTCCCTCTCTTTCTCTCTCTCTCTCTCTGTCTCTCTGTCTCTTTTTCGCCTTTTTTTCTTTCTTTCAGTCTATCTTTGGTTTTGTTTTTTTCATGGTGGCATATTCGGTTCAGCGATCAGAGGGAAGCTAGCCAATGCACTGCTCAGTCAAATGGCAAATGAATAGGGACATTAAGCATATAAACTATTGGCTCTGTTGAGCGCACACTAGCCTAATTTGTATTTTTAGTCGAATAAAACAGATCAGCACGTTGTTGTCGGTTATGCTCTCTGGACAGAACTTAGTGGTAATCAGCGGGCTCGCTTCCCAGAATAATAGGTACGTTCGAGTTTTTTTGTTTTTTTCTAGCCTTTCAGCAAACGAAGATTTCATCACATACAGCGCTTACACACAACCGCACAATGCAAAAAAAGAAAAAGAAACACATTTTGGAAGTGAAGATGTATCGTCCTTGATCGTAGGAGGTCACGAATATGTTCTCGTAAACTAATTGGGCGGCGGGGCTATTTTAATCAATCGGTAATCATTTGCTTCTCGCGTTCTAATCTCTTTCGCCATCTTTGGCACGCTCGGCTGCTGTCCCACTCGGCGGACTGGCCGCGAGCGGCCCCATGCGGTGTCCCGCGCGGCAACAGGTCATTAACTCTTCATTTCCACTCGGCGGGGCTCGGAACTCACGCGCGGATTATGAACGGGAATCAGGTTCTGTTCGCCATTCGCCAAATTAAGTTACGGGGACTCGGAACTTTTATTTATATATATGTATATAATATACAGGTGTACGACCGCCGTGTTTTCTGCTATGTAACTCTCGTGGTGTGGCGTAAGAAAGAAAAAAATAATAAAACAAGTGCCCCTGATTTTATCTTAGCGTGCACGTCATACGGAATATTTTCGTCGGGTTAATACGTGGACTAAGTGGGGACCTTAAATTACTACTATCTTCAGCACTGCGCGACTCTGAGTTCAGCGGCAGTGACCGGCAACTGAGTCAATTATTCGCACAAAGTTCGACCGACGCCTTTTTTGTGTTGAAACAAAATGGCGGAGCTGGTTAGTATTATACTTCATGTGACACGCAGACGCTTACTTCGGCGATCAGTAGCAAGAAATGACAAAACAGGCCCGTAGAAATGACTCGGGACGTGGCATGCAAGTTTGCTGACCCGCGTTATGTGACGACAACTGCGGTTTGCAGTGAAACCAACTGAAATGCGACTGAAGGAGGCCGCGTACAGTTGAAGCGGCACACGGTCGTAGGTCAATCTCCTCAACGCCACCAGCGCAGTGAAAGCGCCGTGGCTCAACGGTTGTTATCACGATATGCTTCTTTTTTTTACGTACGCACATTTGATTTCCAGTCACCGACATCATAAGAAACGCAGTGCGTGGCTTGTTCTCGCCTCGTGATTCTTTCTTCGATGCTCTTTTCGGTTCCTGAGAGCAAGTCGTCTGCTTCTTTTTCGAGGGGTACTGGTGACGTCAGAACGACGCCGAGTTCTGATTGGGCTGTGCACGTGATGTAACCATTAATCGAAATGTACGCGACTGCAGTTGCACTAAAAATTAGAAACGCCGGGAACACATTGCAGATCAACATGAGAACCTCGAGAACTCGAGACATTACCTTAACGAAAGTGATACACATCTGAGATATAGAACCCCACGAAGAAAACACAAACCGCTTGAGTGTAGCAACCCATGCTTTGTAACCACTAATGTTTATGCGAGTTCTTTGATGTGCAGTGAGACAGTCCGCATAAGCTATATAGTTTTCCTTCTTTAATTTCTCTCTGAACGCAACTTGGTAAAGAAAGAGTAGAAAATTCCCGCTTTTTTTATAAAATAGCATGTTCTGATATTTTATAAACCGCTGCAAGTCCGAATATTGGGTCTCTACACGTTTCTAGCATGACACGAGGAAGAAAGAAAGATTCTCGCGAATCAAGTGGTGACTGAGCTTTCAGGTTTTAACGCTCGAGTCACTTTCATAATCACAACGAGTTAATTTCGCTATTTTCTAATCGTATTTTGTTCATTTACCGTATATACAAATAAGACTGGAGCCTCCATAATGTTGTGACAGGCCCATATTAGAATTGCAGTCATACTTCCCAAATTCGGGCACTCAACTACCGGGTTGTTCAATTGTAGGGGATCGGGTGTGTGTGTGTTCGCCTGTCTACTTTGCCCGATACAGAGTATTTTGCAATGGCACCTACTCGAAGAATCGGACCGGTCAAAGGGGGTGCCCGTGGGATATATCTATACATGCCAATCTCGCCTGGACACAAGGAGTCCCACTTTGCCCTCTGAAACTTTCTAGACTCTAACACAATGTGGTGGCTTTTTATTTTTTTCTCTTTTTTTTTTTTTTAGGAACACAATATAAGGAGTTATTTAGCGTAAAAAAATACTCATGTTTCATTACATCGATAATTATTCTGTGTACAGCTTTCACTCGCAGTCCAATGGCACGTCAACTACGCCAGCCACTGGTTACAAGTATCATTATAAGCACATAATGATGACGGCGATGATGATGAGAATGATGATGGCGGTGATGGCCGATGACCTCTCTTCCCAAAACACACCTCCCGACGACCCCACGCGCGCACCCCGGACCGCTTGGTGTTCCCCCGACCGACCCGTGGCTTCTCCAACAGTTCGGACGGACAAGTAGCGAAGAAGAGGCGGATGCTCACCGGGGCTGGCGGCCGAGTCCGACGAGGGGAAAGCCGGCGGCGATCCGGGCACGTGTCTGACCATGGCCGGCACCAGGAGCGGGCGCTGGGGCGCCGAGCACGGAGACGCAGCCCTCTTGGGCACGCTCAGGTCCATCGACGCATGCCGGTCGTAGTCCAGCCGGGCCCGCCGCAGGCCTCGCTCCTCCTCCTGCCGACGCCCGTACTCGTGCTCCTCGCGACGCCGGCGACGCTCCTCCGGGGATGACGCCGTCGCTGGACACCACGCCGGGCACGCAACACCGCCGAGCAGCAGCACGCCTGGCCGACCTGTCCGAGCGGCCACCCTGACGTCAGGACGCGTCAGCGCCAACTCCCAATCGCGTGTGCGCGCCGCTCAGCCTCCTCCGGTTCGCCTCCGCGCCTCCTCCGCGGTTTCGGCGGTGGCAAAAACAAAGCGCGCGCGCGCGTGCCCTCGCTTTCGGGGGGAAGCGGCGCTACGGTCGCCGCTGGATGCCCGAGTCGCTCCCGTGCTCGCCCGTCGAGCTCGTCGCGGCCACCAGCGCCACCCGTGCGCGCCTCCGGTGCGAGGCGGGAGTCCGGCAAAGAGCCTTTCAGTGTACCCTTCGGAGCACGGTAAACACGCCGCGTCACGGCAGCGCGCGGCCCCTAAAGCTCGCCGCAGCACGGATTCGCGGAAAAGCGGTGTGGGTACCCCGGAGTGCACTCTAACATGCGCGGCCAACGACATGTTCAAATACGGACTCGCGGCAGATGGAAATGCGACCAAAGCACGCTATCCGTCCGAGCTTAAAAAAAAAAAAAAAAAAAAAAACAGTGGAAGAGAGAACGTTGCAAACGTTAGCTCTGGAATGTGTCGGTCGCACGAGTGGGAGAGTCTTCCAGAGAGATAAGAGTACGCGTGTTGCATAATTTTTATCACTATACATCCTCTCATCTTAACATGAACTAACCACAAAGGCTACGAGCGTGAGCTCCTTGAGTTCGATTGCTCTTTCACAGCAAAAGCGCTCGTACAGAGGGAGCACCCGTCAAGGTAGATGAGAGAAGTACACCAGTTTTGGGCTTGCACGTGACGTCACAGGACCGTGCTGGGGGTCGTTCCCACCTCTTGTGGGGAAAAACGAATTCCGGGATCCGAAATGTAGGCTGTAGAAGGTACGCGCTCAGCCGCAAGGTCACCATGGGAAGACAGTATGGAGGCAGTATGTGCACATTCGGCTTCACAGCGAGGTTTGACACTATGCCAGAAAGTATCCATGTTTGATATTTTCTGAAAAGTGGGTGCTCGTCTTCTCTCTCCCTACCTTTCTATCTCTCTTTCTCTTTTCCGTTTTATTTACTGAGGTCAACACTCTCACAGAAGTACTAAATGATACAGATATTGATGCGACTTGTAATTCACTATGCTAAAATATTGCAAATGACCACACACGAGATGTACGACATGTTGCATGTGTAAAGCCGGCGTCACATTGCTTATACATTTCCCCTAGTCATGATCATTGTTACAAAGTTCTTATTCCATTTGCAAGAACTAATCTGTTCAAGCATTTCCGTTCGTACAAGCGGCAGCGACCGAATGGAATGAGTTGGCAAGCGAAATTGCGACGGTCACTGGTCATGATACATTTATGTTTTTTTTTGCGTGTATCTTTAGGGTGAATGAATCCATACCTTGCCTTATATATTCTACTCGCTCGCTGGTGGTCTATTGCTTTATTGTTGTTTCTAGCACGTCGACTGCCTCCAACGATGTGAGTGCGTGTGTGGCTTTTTGTTATGCAATGTCTTCCCTTCATGGTTCTGTTCAGCGTGACACGATGTTTTCTATTTTTATTGTTAAATCTTGTATGATTATGTAAACATTTTTATGACAACCCCCCTCTCTTTGGAGCCTTTAGAGGTATGTAAATAGATAAAAAAAATAAAATGAATAAGATAAAAGTGTAGTTCGATCAACAGCTGTAGCTGCTGCATTGTGGAAATGCATGTTGAATGAGAACTGCATTCAGCCAGTGTGCTGTACAATGTTTGCAACGGGTTCTTTGCTTTCAGTGGAATTAATTTAGGATATGTGCGTGAGCGGATGCGTGCTTTGGTGGTATGATTGTGCGAGATGTTGCACGGGTAAAGCCGGGGTCACACTGCTTACACAGGGAGTTTCCGAGAAACAAGCACCGCGTTTCTCGGCCAAGGTAAAGAAACTATGCATCGCAGAAAGCTCGAACTCCGCGAGAACGTGACGCTAGCGGTGGGAAAAGAATGCGAAAGTTTGTGAAAATGACGTTACCTGGATACAAAAAATAATTGACAAATATGAAATGTCTCTATGAGCCGACCTCCACTCTAAGCCTAATATCGTCAAAACGAAGCTCGACATTGAGGACGCTTGTGTATTTCCGATCAGGGGAAAACATCAGGACGAAGGGCGATATTGTTTTCTTTCTTGCTGCGAATTTTTTTTAATAAATGTTACAGCCGCCTAAAGATATTAGGCAAAGTAGACGTCGGCTCATAAAGAAATTTTGTTTTTCTAAATTATCTTTTGATCTAGGTAACGTCATGTTGTCTTACTTTCACTTTCCACCCAACCGCTAGCGTCACATACCCACGGAGTTTGAGCTCTCTGCGATGCACAGGTTATTTACCCGGGCCGAAAAACCCGGTTCTTTTTTTCTCGGAAACTCCCTGTACCATCATACAAAAGACAATCTGCATACAGATTCGAACGCGAGTAATCTCGATATCCGTGTTTCAAGTGCCGCATGGCAACGAGTTCTACGAGCAACTTGCCACGCGGCATTCGAACCACGGATATTGCGGTGACTCGTGTTTGCATACTGTCTTTTGAATGATGTATGAGCAGTGTGAACCCGGCTTTAGAGAACACAAAGACACGTGTTTCTTTGTTTTTTCTCTGGTTGAAGTTTTCTTTTAGAACGGAAGTGCCCGTGACCGCGCCTGCGGTGAAAGAACCCCAAGTAAGTACATGAGCTGTTCTGTAGAGGCGCGGAGAGTACACGAGAACGGAACCTGGGCGGCGGCAGTAGGGAGGCGAGGGAGCGTGTCCCATCGTGAGTATTGCGCAACGGCGGCTGCTAGAAAGGGGGGGGGGGGGGGGGGAGGGGGGGGTGGATAGAAGAACGATCTCCCCGCGATGACGTGGGTTCTTCGGAGTAGCGGCGGCCCACAGGGGTCAAGGGGAAAAGAGAGAGAGAGAGAGGGCCTCACCGTGTGTGAGGAACAACGGGAAAAGGAAGAGCAGTCCCTTTGCTGCAATGTGGGGTTGCGTTCGTACATGAGCATCTTTTGCCGGGAATAGGCAATAACAGCTACCGCTGTAGAATGACACATTTTTGACTGATGAAAAGCAGTATTATCTCCTTGTGTATACTTGTTTATAATTTCAAAGAAAGTTGTAGTCATTTTGTTTTCTTCTAATGCACGCATCTTCAGGTTGGATAAAAAAAAAACATAATAAGAAAAGCGGCAAGTTGCTGAGGACGAGTACGATACGCGGAGGTTCTACCGCAGCCTCCAGAACGTATGACGCAACAAGCTCCTGCTTCTTGCGGGAATCCACAGATATCTACCGAGGTGAGGATCTCTGACGTGAGTAACCCAAAAACAAATTATTTATTCTTTTTTTTTTACATGAGTGTTTACACTTTTTTTTTCAGTTCATGGAACCCATTGATTTATGTGCGCAACAAGGCTGCTGTTGGCTGACAGGTAATCATAGCGTTGGGCAGCATCGCTGGCGTTGAACCTGGCCATGACAACACTGTGCGTATTTGGGCGTTTTGTTCGCTCCTATATGCCATGTTTTACTGAAATGGGAAGTGGACGCTAGGCGAAGCTGCTAAAGCTAGTAAGTATCAACCACGTTTCGCACCAAAGTCACGCTCCATCAGGGCAACAAGTTTGGGAAGAATACGTACCCTCATAAACTTTGCCTCTGGTCGAATAAAGTACTTAAAGACAAATCGAAAACGTATTTAGAAGCTGGTGTAATGGAATGACTGACGACGGGAAGGAGTTCTTGGTAGTTAAGAAACGAAGTGCTAACTTAGGCTTTTTTTTTATTTTACAACTGATCAACGATACAGAGTTGGGATTTACTGTGGCCGGTACGACAGAGACGCACTCAGTACACACACCGTGCGCAGCAACAGGCCTGAGTGCGAAGGCGTCAGGCTCGAATGTGAGCTGCCCAAAACGCGACGATAGAAATACCCAGCCTCTGGATGGAACGGGCCCACAGATGCTTTAAATAAAATTACCCCAAGTTTCGTGGCTATAAGTATTGATGATGTGGTCGGTAATTTTTGGAAGACTGTAGTAGCAGGCCACACGTGAGAATTAAACGACAGACACCTTCTCCGGTGTCAGATAAGCGCGTTGGAACTAATTGGACATCGCATATATCATCCGAGAATAAATAGCTATACCCTATTCCGCCTAAATTCTAATGCTCCGCAAGCAATAAACATGTTTAGGTGCAGGATGTACGGATCTACAAAGTCAATCAGCTGTAACGAGAACGTTACTACGTTACCGAAAAAGTAAGGCGTTCCGGTAACGCCGTTACTGGTATCGCGTTACTGCCCAGCACTGGGAGCAACGTTACTAAAACACTCAGTTGGGAAATTTCCATAGAGACAGCTTTGAAAAAGTGTCCCGAATCTGTCTCCGAGCACCGAGCTAATGACGAACACAACGCCACCATTTCTCCCGCAGCGGCCACTTGAGGAACTGCACATGACTTATACTTCGGCTTTAAGAACAGATACAGCGGAAGAGGTTACAGGAGTGCCACCCCCGTCTCCCCAGCGGACGCGCCGCGTCAAACTACCGAAGTTAAAATGCACCTAGGTCGGGACGCACTACCTGAAGGCCCCGCTGAGGCATGGTTGTATAAAAACAATATTAATTGTGCCGCAAAACCCTGCAAACTAAAGATTTCAAAAACATAACGCGCCCCTCTTTTTGTACCAAACTCCAATAAATTTCATACAAAAAGAGTTTTTTTTTTTGTTTGTTTTTACGCAAAAACAGGCTTTCAAAAAGCTCAAGGTGAGAACAGTACAGACAAACGATAAAGAGTGGCGCTGTTGTCGCATTTAGCTCGGTCTCGGTGGACGCCAGCGGCCCAGGTTTCGACGGCGAGTTTCCCAACTGAGCGTTCTAGTAACGTTGACTGGAAGTAACCATGAGGTCTCACAGGATTTCCCGGGAAGGTCTATTCTGTCCGAAGCAGTCCACCCCTATAAAATTACGGAACAGCTATGAAGGCGTCAACATGC